ATTAGAGATATGTTTGATGCTTATTGTAGATGGATATTTGACCCAAGAGGAACCCTTGTGAAGCCAACAAAAATAAGTCTTCAGAAGCACCATCAGATTTGAGGACAAATCCTTTCCAAGGGGGAGGGGATGATAGACGGGGCCCAAGCCCAATTAGTTTAGTGTAGTATTTCTTTTACTTTTATTAAAGCATGAGTAAAAGGTGTTAGGCATGTGCTATATAGGAGGGACTTTTAGTCCTATATATAGACCATGTCACCACCTCTTGTAAGACACTTTTGAGAATAATGAATTAAACTTTCTGTAGAGAGAACTCCAGAATTTAGTTCCCTTAAAAGTCAAGGCTAGAGAATCCCAAAGGATCTCCTCTAGCCACCTTCCATTCACGCTTCATCTTTCATTTTCCATTTACACTTCAGAACTCTCTTACCTCCACGTAACCATTTGTTTCTCCACTCTGCCTCAGCTGCATGGATTGCTTACGCCATCGCTGCGACGCGAGCTTATTCCTCGCGAGTTTCCCTCAGCACAACACTACATCTTCATTTCGCGAAGTCTTCATCTACTTCACTCTAGAGAGAGAGCTCTTACACCACGAGTCACATTGTCACCGCAGAACCTCACCTTTCTCGCCGATTAAAAATCACTTCTCCACCGTTCAAATCCGCTTCCGCATCAGACCATATGTTTTCAACCGAACAATCCTCGAATCTATGGATTGTTCATCATTGTTCCTCTTCGACTCCAAAACCTAGTGTTCTTGAGGAAATCTGTTTCTTCCGCTGCTTCCCGGTTCTTCAGCTCGATCAAGTCCAGATTTCACGTCGTCTCCCGATTCAGCTTAAGCCTTCAGCTATCACTATTGATCAACTTGAATTCATATTTAATTTTATGCCTTTGCATTTGAAACCAAGAATCTCGTTTTATTTAAGTCTTAATTAATCGAGTCATCACACAACTGTCTAGTGCCGAGAGTCTTCTGGGATACGATACTTGGTCTTACCATTTTATATTACTTATGCGATTTGGTACACTTGCCAATCAATCAATAGTGGAGTGTGGCAGTAACTAAGCATAATTACACGATGTACGTCATCGGTTCATCTATAAATATTGCTTGCATCACGTAATCCCTTGCTTCCTATTTTCGTATTGAACATATTAGGATTCATGTTTTTTATTTCCTTGGCGTTTTCCTTTCCTTAGATTTCGAAACATGTATGTTCTTTAAATTGCAATTTGCGCACTTGAATTTCAAAGTGCCGCATTCAGGTTTCAGTTCAACAAAATTCTTTTTATAGTACAAAAATGATTAAGTTATCTTACTAAAAGGGAAGTGCTTATGAAAAAGAAATATGGTTCACAATATGTTTAATGCTGAAACAATTTTAAGATCTAAAATAATTATATAAAAATGTTGTTCAACGTCATCCTTTAACTATGTATGAATCCTTTAAAAAAATTGTCTTGGAGTTGTCTTCTACCATTAGATTTCAGAGCTATTTTATTTCTTATGGTGGAAACAGCTGCAATACAAATTAAATTTATACAATTGATGTCGAATTTCGATTGCATTCGATGCATAAGACTAGAGATTGATGTCAAATATTTGTATCAATGACGTCCTATATCATAGAAATGTGTTCATTTAGTCAACAAGGAGTTCATATCAGAATCCAAAGAGATTTTTTACTTTTTCAGTCAATGATGTTTGAACGTCGAATTCGGCTGGGCTTCGACGTTTCTACAATGTGGCAGTTACTAAGCGTAATTACACGATGTACTGCTTTTATCAGGATCTAATTTTCGTCAGTGGATCATATAATTTTTATTCTTTTTTTCTTTTTACTTTTTAATCATTCAATAGCACGTCGAGTCTGTGGGGCTTTAACATGATGGAAATTGGAGTAGTTGGGACATTAATGGTATGTTGTTTCCAACGATGTTTTTCACGTCGTTTATTGGGGGGCTGGACGTCAATTAGTTCTTATTTGAATCAAAAGAGATGTATTACTTTTCACTGAATGATGTTTGAACGTCCACTTCGGCTTGGCTTTGACATTCCTATAGATGATGGACTGTGGCAGTTGCTAAGCATAATTCATGATATAATGTACGTCTATCTCTTAGCTAGTCTAACGTCGTCATTTCATCTATAAATATAGCTTAAATTTCGCGTAATGCTTGGCCTCCTGTTTCCCTGTTGAACATATTAGGATTCATGTTTTTTATTTCCCTTGTGTTCTCTTTTCCTTAGATTTCGAAGCATTTCTGTTCCTCAAATTGCAATTTGCTAACTTGTATTTGAAAGTAGTGCATTCATCGTCATTTCATATGAAGGTGCCCTTTCAAAGTACATAAATGGTTGAGATATCTTACTGAAAGGGAAGTGCTTAGGAAAGAGAAATATGGTTCACAATACGTTTAATGTTGCTGAAACAATTTTAAGATCTAAAAAAATCATATAAGATTTAATGTACGTCTATCTCTTAGCCCGTTGACGTTATCGGTTCATCTATAAATGTAGCTTGCATTTCACGTAACCCCTTGTCTCCTATTTCCGTATTGAACATATTAGGATTCATGTTTGATGGAAGCAGCTCCATGATGTGTAGAAGGATGCTTCAAGACGCAGAGAATGGCAGCGGATGGAAGATGATAGTGGATGTCCGAATGCACTCAAGGTGTTTGTGAAATTGTCTGGTGGTGTTTGGATGAGTGTTTTGGTAGATTTCTAACTCAGTAGGCTTTCCAAATGGGAAAGTAGCTAGAGGAGGTGCTAGATAACAAAGCACAGAGGTGAACTTGAGAGTAATAGCTGGAAATTGGCAGCATTTCTTTACTTCAATTCAAGTTACATTTACAAGTGATGAAGCTCTCTATTTATAGAAGAAGGAGAGCTTCTAAAACGTATTGTGCAAGTTATTATAAAGGTGCACGTGCTGTAAAACAGATGGAAGAAGCTTGGGAAGCAAGCTATAGTTTCCAACTCAGCAAAGCAATTGAAGAAGATGGAGTTGCTGTCTTTGGGCGCTGAACGTAGTGCAGAGGCCGCTGGGCACCAACCGTCCATTTGTGCTTCTTTGGTTTTCTTACGTGGCAGCCTTCTTGAGTTGCATAGACATGGTTCCTCCCTTTTATTAATATTCTACAAAAAGCAATGTAAAAGTATTTAGCAAAGAGAAAGAGGACTTAGTAAGTAATATTCCATAAGAGTAAGGTAGTGAGTGCTCCCTCTTCCTCTTGGATTCTCTTGGACATGGCTCTTGTTAAAGATCCTATGTTAAGCTTAGATGGTCCTCCATCAATGTTTTTATGTCTTTATCATTTTCCTTTTCGTAGATCTCGAAACATGTTTGTTCTTTAAATTGCAATTTGCTCACTTGAATTTCAAAGTGCCACATTTAGGCCTTAGTTAATATGAAGGTGGCTTTTCAAATTCAAGTCAACAAAATGCTTTTTGTAGTACAAAAATTGTTAAGTTATATTACTGAAAGGGAATTGCTGAGGAAAAAGAAATATGGTTCACAATACATTTAATGCTGGAACAATATTGAGAACTAAAATAATTTTATAAAAAAGTTGTTCAACTTCATCATTTGGCAATGTATGATTCTTTTTTTAAATTTTCTTGGAGTTGTTTTCTACCGTTAGATTTCAGAGCTATCTAATTTCTTAGGGTGGAAACATCTTCAAGACAAATAAAAATAAGAGTCTGCTTACTGATAACGGTTGATTTCACCGTTATTTGAGAGTAAAGTTTGATATCAAATGAACCCTTTTTAACTTAGAAACTTGTTTGTTCTCTTGATTTTGATTTATTTTGGGAAATAAGAGAACTGAGGTTACACTTGAAGATTTTATCACTAAATCCCCTTGGTTTTGTAGGAAATTGGGATGAATTGGAAGAGGAGTTAAGTTGTCAAGAAGTTGGAACTCATAAAGGACAGAAAGAGTACCAAAAGATAAGGTTACAAAAGGTCGCACTCACGCTTGGGCACCCCTTTCATGACCCTCAGTGTTGGAGCTTCGCATTCACGCTTGGGCGCCCTTTTTGGGGCGCTGAGCGCCATCTTTCCTGCAATGTTTCACGCCTGAGCGCCCTCCATTGGATGTGAGCGTCATTCTCTCGCAAGCACGCTTGAGCGCCTTAAGTAGGGGCACTGAGCAATGGCAACGTTGGCCCATGGCCTAAATCAGCCCTATTTAAGGATTAGTTCGTCCAAGAGAGGGCATCTCTTGACAGAATTGACACAAATTCAATTTTTCTCCAACTCTCTTAAGGCAAAAGTAGATGCAAAAGCTCTCCTCTTCAGTTTTTACGGGTTTTTATCTTTTTCATTCCATTGTTCATCTAGTTTCTCCATAACGATGGGGAACTACACATTATTTGTTGTTGGGGGATGATGTAACCTTGTGAACTCTCATGTATTTGAATTGATCTTAATTATACGCTTCTTTCATTAATTGTTAGCGTAATTCTTCTTTGCTCAATGCTTGTTATGTTTAACTCATTCATGGCACGATGTATGATTTGCATGAGTATCGGGAAGTATCTTACAATTCATGTTGTGGAGAATTCTCCCAAAAGCAGTATTGTTCAGGGATGGGGATATGAGTTTTGGTCATCTTAAGCTCCTAATCGTAATGCAAAATTAATTATTAGGATGCAAGGGATTGTGGTATAGTAATTAAGGATAGACTTTCTTCGTTGAGCGATCAGGTTTTAAGTAATTTAGAGAGTGATGTTAACAATTAAATGAAGAACACAGATTCATATATGCATGAGAGAAAAAGATGAGTTGAGTGAAAAGAAAGAAGAAAATGAGAGGAAGAGTAAGGTTGAAAGGAAGGAGAAGAATAAAGAAAAAGAAGAAAGAAAAGAAGAAAGAAAAGAAGAAGAGGGAGAGAAGAAAGAGAGAGAAATTGAGAAAGTTCTTTCTTACCCTAAAGAGTTTACTAGAAAGGAAAAAGAGAGACAATTAGGGTGTTTTAAGGAGATGTTCAAGAAATTGGGGATTACCGTTACACTGACTGAAGCATTACACCAAATCCCTACAAATGCAAGATGGTTGAAAAAACCCCTAAAAAAGAAAAAATATGTAGATGAGGGAATCCTTGAAGTACAAGGAAATTGCAGTGTGATTTATCAAAAGACACTTCCTCCTAAAGTCAAAGATCCGGGAAGCTTCACTATTCCTTGCAATATTGGAAACTGTAAAGTAAGGAATGCTCTAATTGATTTAGGGGCTAGTATCAACTTGATGCCTTTATCCATGCTAAAGAAGATTGATGGTCTTGAGGTTAAACCGACAAAGATGGTGTTGCAAATGACGGATAGATCTACCAAGAGTCCCTATGGCATAGTAGAGGACGTTGTGGTGCAAGTTGATAAATTAAAATTCCCGGTGGATTTTGTGGTAATAGAGATGGGGAAGATTTGAAGATTCCTATCATTCTTGGAAGGCCATTCATGAAGACATCAAAAGTTGTCATCAATGTAGATGATGGAGTTTTAATACTTAAAGACCAAAAGATACAGAAATGTCAAAGACTAGTGTATCTAAACAAGCTGCTAGCTCAGTCAAGAAAGGTAAGAATCGTTTATTGTCACAGGTAAAGGAAGAAGAGAAAGATTCAAGAGAAGATAATCCACCAAGACTTGAAGATTGAAGATGAAGAATTCAAACCTGGCAAACCAGTCAAATACAAGAACAGGTTATGGGTTGTGAAGGAGATTAAAGTGAATGGAGTTATTGAGATTGAAGCACCATATTCTAGAAGAGTTAAGAAGGTGCATAGGAAGTTGTTAAAGACAAGTTTGTGTGATGAAAGTAAAAGGAACACCAACATAACAATTTTAAACTTAACATTATGGCGTCAGGCTCATTACGTTAAACAAGCGCTTACTGGGAGGCAACCCAATGTTTTTGAGAACTTTTAATTTTGTTTTATTTGATATGCTTTAGTTTTAGGGATGTTTTTGTGGATTTATGGTTTGATGTGCATCATGAGTTTAATTATTCTAAGTGTGAGATGTTATGCTTGAGTTGGAAAGTTTTGAAGGAGCAAAAATGTGAAAAATTGAGAGTTGAAACTGAGGGATCTTACCTAAAAACACTTAGGAAAAGCAAGAAAAGAGGGGAGAAAAAGTAACGTATCACGGTGAGCGCCACTCAGAAGGGCGCTGAGCGCCAGCGACGCTATTTGGGTTTTTGGGCTTTTAAAGCTTAGTGTCATTAGGCCCATTTCACTCTTTTAACCCTAAAGTGCGCGTTTTCACCCTCACTTTTCATTCCCATACTTTCCAGCCACCAAAAAGCTTTGAATAGGGTTCCAGACTACTTCCCCCTTTCATCTTTTCTCCAAAAATATCCATCTCCTTTACTCTTTGCTTCATTCCATTTTCTAATTTGGGGTTTGTGTGGTTGCCAGACTACTTTCCCCTTTCATCTTTTTTCCAAAAATATCCATCTCCTTTACTCTTTGCTTCATTCCATTCACTAAGTTGGGGTTTGTGTGGTTGCTATAGCTATTGTGCAGAGAATCCCTAAGTTTCCACTAGCTCTTGTGCACATTTTGAAACATTTGGAACTCACTTCAAGTAAGCATCTTGCATTTTTAATTTTTAACTCTTGTTAGTTTTTATTCTTGAGGTTTATGCATGATTTGTGGTAGATCTGTTGAATAAACTTTTGTTGGATGGATTATTGATGAGTATTGCACTGTGGAAATGTGTGTGGTGCATTTGGCCAGCTAGTGCCGTGAGGGTTTTTCTGATATGGTGTTGAGGGCCCATTGAGGGGTGCTCAGCGCCGGCGTGGCTGTTTTATGCTGTGTGTTTTGGTGATTCTGGTCATGTGCAGGTACAGCTGAGGGCCCTCTGATTCACCCTCAGCGCTGGAGAAAGAGGTTTTTTATGTTAATGGGTGCTTAAATGATAGGATGGTTATGTTGACTAGTGGGGATGTGTTAAAATGCATAGATATTATGGAATACTCATTAGTATAATATTGTGTTTGATTGTAGTGCAGGTATGGCCACATCATCTGGGAAGCGTGTGAAGCACTGATAACGGTTGAAAAACCGTTATTTTTATGCTTAAATTTGATACCAAAAGCAACCTTTAAGACTTAGAAAC